TGCCTATATGATTTTATCGGTCATTTTCACAAGAAGGTTATTGACAAATCAGATCGCCGTTTACTAAAGAATGAAAATGAGCATGAAGGTGAACGATTATATACCGAAGGAACAAAAATAAACGAACGACACACATTTGAAAGTGTACACCCACAATGATCATCACATATCATCATTAAACGTACCACTCCAGTGATATCAGTTCTGCTTGGTCCTCCAATACCCCATCGCGAACGAGAAGAAACGCACGAGCGTTATTTTCGTGCATTGTTAACTTTATTCGTGCCATGGAGATCCGTCCACGATCTTTGTACACTAAATCAGACATGGTCTGAGGCACTGAAAGTTCGAAAACCATTGATCTCTTCTAGTTCACTCAAAATTATAGAAAATATGCGACTTTTGCATGAATGTAAGCACAATCGAGATGAGCACCTTCGTCAAGTTCTTTTAGAAGCACAAAATGACAGTAGCACTGATCCTGTTCTGACTCCTAGCTCCTATGAAGAAGATCAAAATACTGAAGAAGATGATCCTGAACAGCTTTTGCAAATGCTTTCCATTGTAAATGAGATCTTCACAAATACTTACTCGGCATTGACAGTTACTCACGAACAACGCTATGTTCATGATGCATTATAAGCAATTGATAATACAGATAGATTTGCATTACTCAGTGGTGAGTTAATTACTGGCATATTCCGAAAATATTTTGTTTGATTTAGGCCGTACACGTTCTCTGGGCGAAAATAATTATGGTGCCATACACGACGTCCATACATTTGTCGTAGCTCGCGAGCATCATACGACCATGATTAAAGAACGGAAACGTGATATTGAAGCCCGACGAGATGAAACAAGAAACTATTTAATTTTAGGCGAAGATACTCTGGAAGTACGAGGTGATGAAACTCAGATTGAAGTCGTAGGTGCTCAAATTCTGACAAGCCCAATGAAAACGAAAATTACAAGAGTCCCACCTGTGACTGCAACTAATGCGGTTTTATTTCTCACAAAACAGGATATCGTCAAACAATTTACGCTAAATATACAGCAAAAATACGCTTTTATGATTGCTTATACCGGTATGTTATCTCGATTTTGTTGTTGTAAGGTTTAGTTAGTCTTAATATTTAGGTACTATCGATAATCAGTTATTAATGTGCATACCTGGTTGCGGTGGTACTGGAAAATCTCAGTTGATTCGTGCAATTACCAAGTATTTCCAAGTAACCAAGCGGAGCAAGATGTTGCGTAAACTGGCGCCAACGTCTATAGCAGCAGCTGAGATTGACAGATTAACTATCCATTCATTTTTAGGTGAAAGTCGCAAAAACACTAAAAAGAAAGAAACCCGTACATTTAGACCTGGTGATATGAAATTAGAAAATGAATGGCGTCATGTGAAGTACTTGATAATCGATGAGATGAGCATAGTAGGACTTTAGTCTCTCAGCTCATCTAAATCGAATAGTCAAAACAGCGAAGCACATAAATTCTGCGATACCTTCTGGTGGTGTCAATGTCATTTTCTTCGGCGACTACCTTCAATATTCTCCTGTTTTGGACAAGCCTCCCTACTATAGCTGCGCACCGACACAGCAAATTACAGAACGTCAGATAGATATGTTGTATGCACAGAAGCTTATGTCTGAAATAAACTGCGTTGTTGAATTAACTCAGCAAATGCGAACCGAAGACATAAGATATTTGGAGCTTTTAAATAGATTAAGACATGGACAATCGACAATAGAAGATTACCAACTTCTGTGTACGAGAGTCATAGGAAATCCAAAACTTCAAGTGTCTCTACAACAAAAGCCATGGAACGAAGTATGCACACTCATTTTCTCTGTGTGTCCCATTACTTTTCTTTTAATAGGTTCCAATACTGGTTTTTCGGAATACACTACGCACTCAAATTAACAATAGGGCTGTCTTAAACAAAACAATGGAAATGGGACTTACCCCAATTGTATGCATTGCTCAAGATTATATTCAAGGAAAAACTGTGAATGATATACGATTACGTCAAGCAATACTTGAACTACCTGACAATAAAACAGAACATCTTCCAGGATATTTACCTCTCGTACCAGAAATGCCAGTTTTACTCACAGAAAACGTCACTAGTGAGATCGGACTCTCCAACGGTACACATGGAATCTTTCGTCAATTTGTATACGATGAATCACCAGAAGATGTTCGGTACCAGGATAAAAATTTTCCACCAAATACCAAGTTTATAACGCAACCAAAGTATGCTTTGGTAGAATTTCCTGGTTGCAAACTTGATGACAAACTTGCTGAATTGCAGTACAAAATAGTTCCTATAGCCATTAGTGAACAAATATTCTTGTTTGATGCCAAGGAACTTCTTCCAGAAAATATAACGAAAGCGGCCAAAATAAACAAGAAAACAACAAAACTCACGGTTAAACGTAAAGCACTTCCGCTTATACCGACATATAGCATGACAACACATAAAAGCCAAGGACAAACACTCGGTAAAATTATCGTCGATCTGGTCATGGCTTCTGGACCACTCGAAGTTGCATCGGCTTATGTTCCATTATCTCGTGTAAAGAGACTTGATGATATACTTATTATACGGCCATTTGTATTTGCAACACTTCAAGTTAAACCATCAACGGCCCAAATAGAAGAACTTAAACGATTAGATAGAATAGCACAAGATACTCGGAAACGCTTTCAATTCACAGTTTAAAATAAAACTTCAACGGTGCTCTGACTTCAGAAAAAACATCTAACTCAAAGCAAAAACTCTATTTTGCATGCTCGAAATGTGTTTAATTCACTCTTCTGATCCATAGATCATTTGTAAAACTTGTACGAACTCCTATTTTAAATAAAAGCTATAAAAGCCAAAATAGAATGAAAAGTTTAAAGTGTGTTAACGAACTTCATTGATACGAAGTCATTATCGTTTGTGCATTCAATCAGTACACCCACCAGCATATGAGAGTTATGCACTAAAATACAAGCCTAATCTGACATGCATGATATCTGACAAATTCACTAAGATTTTCACAAAAGGCGAGTAGTATTAAGGCAACTTTCTTTGTTATGTCTACCTTGTCATTGAGAAGTGTTCTTTCAACTGACCGCTTCATAACTAACCCACAAAGGAAATCGATGGCTGAAGACGACAAATTGATTCTCATTTCAAAAAACAACCTTCCATAAACAAGTAGCACAACAGCATTAGCCTTCACACATGATTAAACTTGCAGGAAAACACAGATACATCCCGGCCCAATAAGCACTACAACCATATTCAAATCTACACTTTCAGTTTGAAATACACTCTACTATCCGTCTTTTGTTACAATGCCATACCTCTATCAGCTGTTGGGGACATATGTACACACAAGAAAATGAAATGTTACCATCGTCCTTAACTTTCAAAATCATACATGTCATGTTCACTATCACAACACACACCCAGTTTCATACATCAACAACATTCAACAGACTGGACTCTACGCGGTAAATAACTTCCGACAGTCACAACCAAGCATCTTACGGGTGGAATTGATACGTTCACTCCATGGCGCGCACTCACAAACTCCTACACTAACATTGAATATCGAAGAACCCATCACTATCTTGACTAATTGCTCGTCAAAACTCGTTTTCTAGAAATCCGAATCTAAAAACGCATGATAAATTCATCCGCATCCTCAGAATTTCATTTTCTCACACCGTAGCTTCAAAATACCAGATTGGCTCGAGTACCACTCCGCGAAGTTTCCTTCGCCAACCATCCGTTCCCGAAAATGCAAGATTCCGCCAATTTCGTCGCCTCGCAATATACTTCGTCAATGCTTCATATGCGAAACCCCTAATGGACTCAATTTCGGTTGTGCAAAATCCCATTGGCTAACAGCCCATCTCCGAAATTCTCACATTCAACCGATTTTGGCGCCGCAAAGTCACATCGATTGTTGGCCCATATCAAAAAACCTCTGATTGGCGGAACTTTCGTTGCGCAAAATCTCATTCGCTGATGGGCTACACCCACAAGCACTTCATTGGCTTAGCTTTCCTTGCGCGAAATCTCATTGGTTAATCGTCTATATCGAAAAACCACTCCTTCGCTGTCCTTCGGCTTCACCAAATTCCATTGGCTATGCGCTCATATCGGAAAATGCTTGGTTTGCTGCAATTCCGCAGCGTGACATCCTCTTCCTTAAGCGCCCATACCGCAAAACCTCTGATTAGCTCGATTTCGATTTCGTAGAATCCCATTGGCTAAGAGCCCATATCGAAAAACCTCTGACTGGTTCAATGTCGCCTCCGCGAAATCCCATTGGCTAAGAGCCCATATAAGAAAACCTCTGATTGGCTCGACTTCGCCTCCTCGAAATCCCATTGGTTAAGAGCCCATATCGAAAAAGCTGTGATTGGCTCGATTTCGCCCCCGCAAAATCCCATTGGCTAAGAGCCCATATTGAAAAAGCTCTGATTGGTTCGATTTCGGCTCCACGAAATCCCATTGGCTAACGGCCCATAGGAGAAAATCTCTAATGGGCTCGATTTCGGCTTCATGAAATTCCATCCGCTACGCGACGATGTCGGAAAACTTCTGATTGGCTCGATTTCGTCCTCGCAAAATCCCATTGGTTGAGAGCCCATATGAGAAAACATCTGATTGGTTCGATTTTGGCTTCGCCGAATCCCATTGGCTAAGAGCCCATATCGGAGAAACCTCTGATTGGCTCGATTTGTGCAGATTATTTTCTGCTACTTCACTGAAAAATCTGCAGAAGGTCAAAAGAACATTTTTTTGTTCGGTGCGAACATACGAACGAACGAACCTACCTCATTTCGGCGTATGACCCTCCTTCCAGTAGAGGGAATAATTAATTATTGTCAAAATAAGAAAATTAAAGTAAAAAAAAAATGAAACTAAAAAATCATATCAAAAGAGGAGAACTGTTCGTAATTTTGCTTCTTTTGAATTGTCCTATCACTATCTATTTCTTGATATCGCATTGTTGTATGCACGGTTCTTTGTGATCATTTCCGATATCTTCCATTTTACCAATCGTGATCAATGTTTCCGTCGATACGACATACATTTCAGCACTATCCAGATAAATCTCATCCTTACCATATCCACCAGTAACTAAGACGTTACCATTTGTTAAAACAGATGCTGTATGTCCTAGTCGTGCAGTTTTCATACTATCAGTGGTTGTCCACATTTTTTTCAAAGGATCATACAACTCCGAACTATTTAATACATCATTTAAAGTATCACTAAATCCACCGGTAACTAATACTTTTCCATCTGTTAATAATGATGCTATATGCCATGCTCGTGATTGATTCATCTGACTTGTATATGTCCACGTTTCAGTTTTTGGATCATATAACTCAGAACTAGTTAGAAAATTAATATAACGTCCTCCAGCAATTAATGCTTTTCCATCTGATAATTCGACGAGTGCGTTATAAACTCGGCGATAATTAAACGCACTAGTAGTGTTCCATATGTCTGTTGATGGATCATACAACTCACACGTACCTACAGTTACATCAAAAATTCCTCCAGCAACTAAAACTTTTCCATTTGATAATACGATGGTTTGGTGAAAAAGTCGTGGATAATTCAATAGACTAGTATTAGTCCATATGTCTGTTGATGGATCATACAACTCAGCACTTTGTAGACTCCATACATAAAGTCCACCAATCACTAACACTTTTCCATTTGGTAATACCGACGCTGTATGTCCACCTCGTGCAAAATTCATGCTACCAGCAGTCGTCCAGATTCCTGTCAATGGATCATACAGTTCAACACTGTTAATAGTATTCATACCAATATCTTCACCATCAACGAATACTTTTCGATTCGTTAATACCGCGACTTTCGAATTGTTTTGTACATTACTGATTTTATCAAGTATCGTGAACGATTCTCTTGATACATCACAGGATTCAGTTTGACTGACATAGAGTCCACCAGTAACTAACACTTTTCCGTTTGGTAATATAGATGCTGTGTGTAAACTTCGTGCATTCTTCATGCTACCAGTCAATGTCCAAGTTTGTGTTGCTGGATCATACAACTCAGCACTATTCAGAAGAGAACCATTACAACCACCAGTAACTAATATTTTTCCATTCGGTAATACAGATGCCGTATGATCAATTCTTGCATTATTCATACGGCCAACGTTAAACCATCCTAGATACAATCATTCAACTGTATTCTTGATCGAATGGAAGGGTGCGAGTGAGGTATGATTAATATGTTCGTGATAAGTCAGTCACGTGTCAAAAGGTATTTTTGATGAAGTATAGAATCTAGATGTCTTTTTTTTTTTAGTAGTTTTGAGACAAAATGATCTTGTCATCAGGGTGACTAAATCCTTATTTTCAAAACCAGTAGATCTTCACAGAAAAACCAGAAGTTCACCAGGAGGTTTTTCTGAAAATCAGAAGGAAAACCAGAAGATCTTTTTTGGGAAATAAAGTAGTATTTTGTGGGTATTTGTAAAATACACGAACACCCACAAACACCCAAAAGTGAAGGCAATTCCCACACGAACAGCCACCAATATTTACGAACACCCAAACAAGTCAAGAAATGTTGTCCATTGACTACTTCAACTATGAAATGATCCGGATTCAAAAATCAGCAAAACATGTCATTGATAATAGATGCGCATTTTTTTATCTATGCAGTTTCATAGTTGAAGTAATCAGTGGACAACATTTTCTGACTTGTTTGGGTGTTCGTGAATATTGGTGGCTGTTCGTGTGGGAATTATCTTCATTTTTGGGTGTTCTTCGTGGGTATTCGCGTTTTTTGAAAATTTCTGGATCGGTGCATAGTCCAATATGAGTTAGTTGTTTAAATATAGATTTGGCTTTTGTTGGGTGTTCGTGTAGGAGATTAGCTTGACTTTTGGGTGTTCACGTATTTTACAAATACCCGTATTTTGTGGTCATTGCTGGAGGAAAGTTGGCATTTTCATTGCCTGAAATGCTTGTTAGGTAACAGTGCCCTGGAGAATCGATGGTCTATCGTCCTCGTTACATATCCAAATAGCACATAATGATCTCATCAGATCATTTTTATACTGTTTTAGACGAGAATATGTAGAATTGGATAACCATTCTTTCCTGAATTTAGGTGGATACTGTTTTGTTATCGTAACAGATGATGAAGTAGTTTTGGAGGTTGAAGGATTTTCTGGCGATACTGAATCAAAATTAGTTACAGGTTTATTTATAGATTGACAAAGAAGATTTTTCTCCAATGAATTGGGTATTTCACTAACGTTATCTTCTTCAAACCAAGATATTCGAAAATTGCACTAGTTGTTCTTGACTTTTATCTACGGTTTCATAAACTGTTCATTATAGTATTTATTTACGAAATTAAATACTGCAGTTTTCCAGAAAAAATAGAGAGCAAAAAACTTATTTTCTTACTAGTTGCTGTATCCGTGAAATACAAATAGTTCTCATTTCTTGTTTTTCTTGTTGGTTAAAAATGTTGCTAAGAGTCGAGATAAAAAAGCAGGAGACAAGCTTAAAAAACAGCTCCTGGCACCAGGAGATTTTTTTATCAGAAGAAAGGGTTAAAAACCAGAATTCTCCTGTTAAAATCAGAAGGTTTGGTCGTCCTGCTTGTCATGTTCTTTCTTCACTGACACTAAGAATTGAAAAAAGGCCTTGCCATACTCTGTATTCGGGCATGGTTTTTTAATCAAAGAAACAATTGAACAAATAAAATAAAGATCCATATAGAGTTTTGAGATGCTAAATAAACTAGTTTTGACGGTTAGTTGTTTATATCTCTCTGTAACGCATGGTATATAGGACTGAAATTTTTATCATAGCTTATATACTATATGTAACGAAAACGAAAGATAAGAATGAGTGGTATCATTTCGTTTCCATGCATGTGATTGCATATTTATTTCATCGTGAGAAACTGAAGTAGGAACAATGCTACTAGCACTCTCTATATCAATGTTGAAGAGACTACTCCATATCATTTCGACTCCGAATATTCGTCTCACACCTTCACCTCAATAAATAGGACAAAACAAGAGCAGTAATATAACAAAAGAGAAGGGCTACACGAAAGCTTACTTGACGATTGAAGTTTGTTCGAAATTATTGCTCGTTTAGACAGTATTGAAGCGATTCTATTTTCTTTGAGGTTTTTCGAAGCAATAATAGCAATTGTTGATACCAAAAAGAAGGTAACTAGAGAATTGAGAAAAAAATAGAAATGATGAAGGTAGTTGTGATGCAACGGCGATAATACCAACTCCACAGAGATTCTATTAAAATTTCTGAGCTTAAATTTGTTTCAATCTGGTGTCAAATGTATGATCACCGGAGCCTTATTGTGCATTCATTGTTCTCATTGAAGATTTGCTGATGATGCTAGGATCGTTGGTTCAAACTCTCAATCAGGCAACCAAGAACCATCTTCGATTACAACGTATGTATATGCGCTGTTAATGCGTATATGTATGGAGAAAAAATTTGTTTATCGAAACTTTTATCATCATCAAATCTACGATCCCTTCTCCTTATAAAATACCGATTGTCATTTCGATACAAATTCATACAACCGAAGGGTAGGATTCGCTGACTGCCGAATTCTATCTACGAAGATCATAACCATAGCATCTCTTATATGTTTCATCATTCACTCTTACACACTTACTCCACATTTGTTTGCTGGACATAAAGTATGTCAATAGTAACTTGAATTTCGAAAAACTAAACTAATTGTTTATTGAGACTAGAATACTTTATATATGTGCATCACTCATAATCTAACAAAAGATAACGAATACTATCTGTAGCACAAAGCAATATTGTCAAACTGTTATCATGAAAAATAAATATCACCTGTCAATAGGAAATAACAGAAGCAACAGACTTTTGTACTTGAAATTCATTTGAGATGCATAAATTTAGTTTTTGACATATTTCAAAGTATTTATCTTGGATGTACTTTAAACTACTTTCAGATATCTTCTACATCGATTTGCATCACTTTGCTCTAATTTTCGCTACGTTGTTTTGTTTCGTTTTACCTTGTCCTACTTCATCCTGCTTTGTCCTACTTCATGTTGTTTTGTCCTATTTTGTACTACGCAGAGACATCATCTTTTTTGATATTTTCCCATTGAATAATTACTTTTTGAAAATTTTTCTGTTTTCACAATTTTTTCTTTCGATATTTTTCCGTTAGACAAAATTTACTTCTTCTATTATCATTAAAATATAGAAAAAACACGCTGAGAAGAAAACAGTAAATATGAATGAAAGTGAAATTGTTTGTAAGTGTTTACTTTTCCGACAATCAATAACCAAATCTTTTAGATCATTATCTAGATCAGATGGTTCTTCTAGTCATATTCTAATTAATACTTCTAAACGTTCTATTGTAAAACAATTTCATAGATCAGTTAATATTTTATGTGACATAAAAATATTTCGTAAAGTGGCAAAAGATCGAAAATTCAAAATATCGAAAACATTGGATACTAACAAAAAATTCTGCATTAATTAGGGGTACGCAAGCTCAGCTCAAGCTCACAAATAATGAGCCGTTGAAAACGCTCACTGAGACGAACTGAACTATTCGAATAGTTCATTTGAGCGAACTGACCTTTCTCAAACAGCTCATCTCACATGAGCTGAACTGTTAGAACAGCTCATTTAAACGAACCGAGCTTTTGAAACAGCTCATTTCATATGAGCTGAACTGTTAGAACAGCTCACTCGAACGAACCGAGCTTTTTCAACAGCTCATTCCAAATGAGCCGAACTCTTCGAACAGCTCATTCGAACGAACCTAACTATTTCTAGGGGTACTGATAGGTTCTCGAGGGCTTCCCTATGGGGGTGCCCATACGTCATCAAGTCCTATTACTGGGGGATATCCTTGGGTCTTCATGTCCTATTATTGGGGGGTACCCTTTGGCCCTCAATCCTATTATTGAGGGATGCCCTTGGGTCTTCAAGTCCTATTATTAGGGAATACTCTTGGGTCCTCAAGTCTTATTATTGGGGGATATCCTTGAGTCTTCAAGTCCTATTATTGGGGGTACCCTTGGGTCCTCAAGGATAAATGCCAAAGCTGTATTTTCGCTGTGTTTCACTGGGAAGGAGCCCATACATATACCCATCAATCGATAGAGCATCCTCGATAACCCTATGGTCGGCCCCAACATGGTTACGTTTTGTCCTTACCATGAGAGAAAAAACGGCTCCTAAAATCTGATTGGTCTATTTTTGGACCAATCAAATGGTAGTATCCTATTTCTCAGGGAGGGGACGGGTGGGGACCCCTACACATACCCATCAATCGATAGAGCATCCTCGATAACCTTATGATTGGCTCGAACATGCCTATCACTTGTCCTTACAATAAGAGAAAAAGGGGCTTCTGAAATCTGATTGGTCTGTTTTTGGACCAATCATATGGTAGGATCCTATTTCTCAGTGATGGGACGGGTGGGCACCCCTACATATACCCATCAATCGATAGAGCACCCTCGATAACCCTATGATTGGCCCGAACATGCCCATCACTTGCCCTCACAATAAAGGGAAAAAAAATTTGAACCCGCTCGGGTACCTTCCAGTAGTAAGATTTGAGAACTCAAGAGTACCCCCAATAGTAGGACTTGAGGACCTAAGGGTATCGCCCTACAGTAGGACTTGAGGACCTATGCATCCCGTATAGGGTAGCTCTGGAGGACCTATGGGCATCCCTACAGGGTAGTCCTTGAGAACCTATGGCTACCTCTACAAAAAGTTCAGTTCGTTCGAATGAGCTGTTCTAAAAGTTCAGCTCATATGAAATGAGCTGTTTCAAAAATTCGGTTCGTTCAAATGAACTGTTCTAACAGTTCAGCTCATATGAAATGAGCTGTTTCAAAAGTTCGGTTCGTTCAAATGAGCTGTTCGAACAGTTCTTTCGCTCATTTGAACGGAGTTCGTGAGCTGAGCTTGCGTGCCCCTAATCTACACCCACACACTCACCCCCACCCACCCAAACCCATGTTTCATATTTTTAATCCCGCAAGAGATTGCGCTAATAGCTTTTTTCAATGAAATGTATCACATTTTTGATGAAACTTGCACTATCTATCGTTCTAGTTACTAGCACATATAAAGTGTTACATTAATATGAAGAACTGATATATGATTATCTGAATTATAAATTTAATATCTAGCAGACACTATTTACAGAGAACCAGCAATCAGTTATTAAAAAGGATCAATATTTGAATACGACGGAGAATATACGTGTCTAACGCATAGGTTAATAATGATCCATCGCAATGTGTCAATAATAATGTCATATAAAATATGATTACCAGATGGTGACTCAAATAGTGTCCACATATAGAGAGTCAATATTATCACATAAACTAAGTAATCTAGGCACTCTATCATGGGTCGTTGTCATAGTAAAGATAACTTCACTACGGAGTCAAATATTTCGAATGCTTCACCCAAGAACAATGAATTATGCACATCTTCATCTACTCCTTCTCGATCAATACATCCTTGTCGTCTTACAGAATTCAGTAATTTAAGTTTTACATCTCGTGTTTTGTCTCAATTATGTTTCGAGCACAACAAATCAATGAATTCACCACTCATCAATGTTCTCGAAAGCCATCGTCGACCTGATCTTCACACTATGACTTATCTCACGCCAAAGATTCTTGATGAAGTAGAACAAGGACTCATGACATGGTTCACTAACGATCGACTGTTTGATGCGTCATGGAGAGTAAGTTATTTCGAACGATCTACGATGAGGGAAAGTCAACTCAGTCTGGCTATTATCGAAGCAGCTCTCACGTACATTATTGACCATTTGGACAAATATCCCGCGGTAGTCACAGCTATGGGAACAAACAAGATTGGTTATCATGACAATGGTATGATGCTTGATGTTGTTGGTGTGCGTTTGTTCGGAACCAAAATCTCACGAACAGAAAATGCAACAGAATAACCGATGTGAAAAATGTTTTTATTCAACTTCAATGATTTTAGCAATCGAGATCAATGTTGTGTTGTAAAAAAAAAGTCAAATAAAATACATATTTTTCAAACTTATTATAACGAACGTATTTTTCGGTACTCGTGCTCAACATAAGTACAACAGAAAAACATGGTTGTACCTTCCATTTTAGATAACTTTCTATTAGCCATTATGCAAACTCCGAGAAATTCTCACAAACACCGATATGTCAGAAATAAGCTGATAATAAAAGTTTACATAGCTGTGACCGGAACGGACACTAATAATTTTCTGACACTAAAATTCGAATGTTTGCGTCACACCCTAAATTGTTTGACTGGTTTGAATTTTTAAAACCTAAAGAAACATTTTTTGACATTAAAGCTCATATTATCATTTTTAATCATTTGTTGTTTAGGATCTAATAGCCATGATGTTGATGATGAAAGATAAAAGAGATCTCTCTTATCTTTACAAAGACATGACTTTATTAATTTGCATAATATTGAATTAAGATCTTTACATTAAGACATTCATCGAGCATATTATTTAAAAAGTCGTCTTTCATCAAACAAATATTTTTTTCTAATATTTTTACAGTTTAAAAGAAAATAGATCCTTAAATCAATATATTTAGTTTGATGAAAAAAAGGTACGTGCAATCTCTAAAGTCAATAATTATTGTTCAAAATGTTTATCAAATTACTGAAACAATATTTTCTACATTTATCGCTTATGAAGCACTATACATTATAAATTCTGTAGTTTATTGCAAAGTGAGATTACAGAGGAAAACATTCAGAGAGTGATGGTATTTAAATTACATGTAAACTTATCCTTTAATTTCAGAATGGGTTGCTGCGAAAGTTCTTCAGATGGTGACATGTCAATTTTTTTCAATACAAATAATTCATGGATTCTTACACCTGATAAAACAAAGGTATTTAGACAAACTCTCAATCAAATACCTGTCCCCTGTCGTCAGGCCATCATTAATTTACCTGTACGAGACTTTTTCAATGCTTATGAAAAACATCTATTAGCCAATTATCATGCTAAGGAGAGACATTTTGGTCGTGCACTTGCTTTGGAAAAGTTCGCAATAAGAGATTTCTTAGTTCTCTTACCTGAACACCAAGATCATTTCATCTTCGCTGATATATATCGAACATTATCTAAATGCTTGCTAGAAATGGGTTTAATTCTACCGGCGATCGAAACAAGTCAAAAGACATTAGATATATTACTCAAACATATACCATCGAATAATGAAGCAATTAGTACGCAATATTTTAATTTAGCTATTTGCTATTTAAATAGTGGCATATACAATGAAAGTTGGCAATACTTGAGCAAAACTATTGTCATAGCACGACACAGCAACGTGCCAAATCTTGAAAATCTTGATATTCTAGAAACTACACTTTATCTTTTAACGTAAGTAAACTATTAAACAAATGAACGAAGATTTTACTATTAGGGAAGATTTTGTCGATTATGTGTAAATGAATTGTAAGAGTATTTTTGTTTCTTTTGCAGACAACTTATTATGGCTAGAGTTCTAAATTCTACAGCAACATCCAATCGTAATGACAATGAACAAGAAGCATCACATGCAATAATCACTGAACCCAATCAAGCTGAGTGTGAACATTCACTTGACCAACAAACGGAACTGTCCGACAATGATACAATTACAAATCATGTCTTGCAACATGACGAGGAGTGATTTACAAGCAGAAATTTCAAATAAGGAACACGAAGTCAAAGTTGAACAACATACAAAGTTGGAATACTGATTACGGTCAATTTCATATACAGATGAAAATTAATTATATAAGAAATGTACTTGTCTGTGAATTTCTAAATAGCAGAAGATTATGAATGTTTTCTTATGAAATAAATGTGTGACGTTCAATAGATTCCCTCAAAAATATTGTCTGTAGACAGTTGCAATATTCGCATGCATACTGCTCTTACTTATATGCCCTGCTACGAGATGTATGATGGGAAACGGCAGAATCTGATGACTTTCCAGGGAATTTCGGGAGCAGGATTCCGAAATCAGATCTAGCTGCCGATTCAGGTATCTGGAATAAATCTGCGAATACGATTGCCGTTTTCTGAACGGTTCCAATGCTTTCAGTTGCCTGTAGATCTTGGATCTAGCTGCAGAACCGATCATCGGCACTGCCATCTCTCAGAATTAGCTATATCCCAGTCAACTCTATAGATAACCTCCCGCAGATAAACAGTAGTGTCAAACTTGAAAGTTGAATTCAAGTATTCAACTATCAGTTCAACTATTCAAGTATTCAACTATTCAA